TCCTTTCCTGCTACCCAAACAAACTCTCACCAAGTCACTGGTTCAGGCTCAGAGAGAGGAAGTGGTTGCCACAATGGCAACCCAACGAAAGCTCTTTGTCTAATACACTTTTTATAGCATGCAGAAAGAGCAGATAGCAAGAACACAGACATAGCTTCCCCTAGTTCATCATCTCCTTGTTTGATAAACTTCCTACTTCTCACAAAAATAAAGTATTCAGAGAAGTTTATAGAATGCTTTGACATACGTTCTGTGGCGGTGAATTATTCCTCAGGGAACACAAAAAGGTATAATTAAGGGAAAAGATGGAAGAAAAGATTAAAACATGAATGAATCTCACTACAAACTGGTCTCCCAGGTCAGTCAGTAATAAAAATGTAGTCTAGCATGCCTTTAAATGGATGTGGTTCAATCAAACGTTCCTAACAGTATATAACAGCATTACTTCTAAGTGCAAATGTCACTTTTATACTGCTTTAAGATGTTCTTTATTTCTACAGGCGTGTGACAGTGAAACATTTTTAGGAAAGCATATTTTATTCTCAAATCTTTATGAACTACCAGTTTTCTTAAGCAGATAATGCTAAACCTACATGTGAATACTCAGTGCTTCATTCTATAACTCAAAGCTGAGCAAACACATGCTGAAGCATTTCCTAACACACTTAAGTGCTCTAGTGCTCAGCTTCTCAGGCTGTTTTAATGGAAATCTCTTCCGTTTGAAAACTTTTGGGGCAGGAAGAGGGGGAGGGGATGTCACAGCACCTACAAAGTGTTCCCAAACAGGGAAATATGGAATGAAATACTTTAAGCTGGGCCTGGGGTCTGGAGCTTGTCTAGGAGTATTTTAGACAGGTCAGAGAAGAGTTTTAATGAGAGCTCCTGGCAAATTGTTATTGCAGGATCCACTTTCCACCACTCTTTAATCCCCCATTCCTCTCTTGCATTCACTGCACAGAATGAATACACACATGGAATGTTAATGGTTAATTACCCAACTCTGAAACCTAAATTCTCTTATTTCTCTTTTTCTGTTGTTGTTGTTTTGCCCTGTGCTCAGCGTGGACTGCACAATTCTCCTGAGAAGCAGATAACCATCTGGGCAGGCTGTGAATTCCTCACTGCCATGGCTGAACTGCCATCCAGCACCTCAGACAGACAAATTAAAGCTACACAGCAGAGCAGGCATATTCTTAGTTTCATCTTTCTCATTAGGATCTCATATACCTGCTTCCAATGTTGGATTATCAAAGCCAGTCCCTGCCACTGCAGACAACCAGGCTACACAGGACTTCTTGAATCTTCTCCTCTATCCAGGCTGCATACAAGTACTTAAACCCAAGTAAATTAGTGTCTAAAATTCTACTCTTTGATTGAAAGCATGGTAATGAGAAATTTGCTGTCTTAATTGGTCACAACTGTCACTGAGAGCCAGCTATCAGTTTGGCTCTGTGGGAAGCTTGCAGTGTTACTTCTGTTGGAGCCAAATGGTTGTCTTGCTGTGAGCACAAATGCTGACAAGTAGGGCAATATGTGGGAAGAAATCTGGCACTTCCAGTGGGATGTGCGTGTGCACACAAGCAGTTATGGGTTTGTATACTGGAAGTGTATCCTCTAGTTGACTCCACTAAACCTGTCATGTGCCCATTCACTTACCATGATCCTGAATAGCTCAATAGCTCTACCTGATATAAACTGGATGTCCAAACAAGTCACACCAATAAAGCAACCAAGATACACAAGTTAAATTACTTAATAAAGAAAAACATACCCACAGTGTTACAATAAAATAGAGCAGATAATGCATTGACCTTAAAAATCATATCTAGTGCCAAAAAGGGGGAAAAAAATCAAACCAAACTTTTTGATTGTAATTTGTTTCTTTAAATTTCAATTGCCAAACCCAGTAAATACTATTTAAAAACATCTAAGAAGCTTAAAGTGAGGCCTACACACAAAAGAGGACTTACTGTTGCAAAGCAAAGTTAAGTTCACTTAAGGAAAAGAAAGATGCAAGACTGCATTCAAGGCTGCTGGATGACAATACAGTGTTTTCATGTCATTTTCCCATGGCACTCAGCGATATCAAAGCTACAGAGGCCAGGAAGCATGACTGATTGTTGCTTTATTTTCTTAGTCCTTCAATAATTTCTAGCACATAAACACGTAACAACCATCAACAGAAGACAAAAGCTGAGATCTGACAACCAAATAAGCCTTCCAAAAGGGCAGAGTGTTTAATTCAATTTAATTCAGTGAAGGGTCAGAGCTGCTCTTACATCTCAGAGGATGCCGAGAACAAATAGATTTGTATTACAGAAATAGATTATAATATGTGGAAGGGAGGAAATGAAAGTCAGAGTTTCAGCCTTGGGTTTGTCTTTGCTAGCTTTTCCTGTATTACCTGGCTATACTGCCTTAAACACCAGAGACACAGCACACTCTTCTGCAGCTGCAAGGTTTGAGGCTTGCTGCTGATATTTATACTATAACTTCACTCTGCAACAAAGACCTGACAACCCCAACTACCTGAGAACTGACTTCCCCAGGAATGACTAAAGATTCATTCATATGAATAAATACCTGTGAAGGATCAAGTTTACTAGTTTCCTTTTATTTTGCACCTGTAGACATGAAAGGATAATTCAGTAATTTCATTACATCAGGAACATAAAACCAGCACTGGTTTTCCACTTACTATTAAAGGTAATCAAGCAGGGCTGAAATACTGTGCTCCTCTGCCGTTCCATTTTTAGATTATTTTCTTCCCCTTTCTATCTATTGGTGAGATTTGTATCACAAAACCATCAGCCTTTACAAAATGGATGCTTTTATCTCTGCAGCTGAGATGGTTGTGAAGTCAGGGTGACGAGAAAGAGTTTCCTACGTTAGAGTACATTTGCCACGTGATTAACTGGAAGATGCCACTGTGGTATTTCTATTTCATCTCTGTGAAGACATGCATCGAGGGCAACAACAAAGCACAATATGCACTTTTACAAGCCTAGCAATGCAAGCAGTCCCAAAGGGAAGCTTGCAGAGACACGCTTGCCTCTCCACTCATCCGCAGATCAAATGTTTCACTGAAGCCATCTGACTGACATTTCTCCTTCCAATGACAAGAAAAAGTGACATTAAACAAATTCTTGGGTTGCCATTGGATATTGGCTTCAAAATAGTTTTCTAGATGTCACATCAAGCTCATGGAAACTCCTAGAACTGCAATTCCCACTAAAGAATACAAAACCATGAGCAACATGCAGTATTTAATCCTTCCAGAAATACACTAAAACATAGAAGAAATTAATCTGAAATCTCTCAGATAACACCATCAGCTTAAAGATCTGTAAAAATAACCAGTGAGAAGCTCAAAGAAGTGGAACAACCTTAAGATTTTCTTGAAATGAAAGATGTGTTTTTAGAAGGTTATATGAGGATGACATTTAAAGGTGATATTTGAGGGGGAGCAAATAGTTAATCTATGAAACAGTATGAAAGTAATAAAAATACAGACGTTTACTGCAGTGCAAGCTCAGCATGGGCTGATTTGTTTGGGTCACTTGCTCTGCAATACCATGGCTAGACTGCAGCCTCACACTTGCAGGTGTAGATAACAGACTGCAATACTGCACTCCCAAGTGTGCCTGCATTCTTAGCTCCTCCTTAACTTTTGGTAACTTTGACTTCTGTTGTATTAGTATTGTTTTGAATGAAAGATAAATGAGCTTATAACTGAAGCCAGATAACTACTCTTATCTCCTACTCTGAATTTGACTTGAAGATAGTCGCTGTCTTTATGAGTCTGGCCTAAAATACCATAGGCAGCTGGCAGTTTCACTTAGTGTTGCCCTGACAGTAACTCCAGTGAAGCAGGTTAGTGAATGCGTTGTGTATTTACCAGCTCTACTGTTTATATTGCTATCAACGATGTTGATACTGTAGCAGGTCATTGCCAGTTAAGTAAAACTCAAGTTTATGTTACCATCAACTATTTATTTTACAATTGACATGGGCAGATATTGTGTAAATAAGTAGCAGTGTTTTCCTGTTAACAGAACTGTATTTAAAGTTTATGCCACCAGCAATGGTAATGTGAAAATGAACCACTCACACTGAAGAGATTTATATCTAAAGCATAAGCGGAGAAAGTAACAGATTACCTATCATTAAGCTTGCTGACAACTTCCCTTAGAAGAGATTGTTCTCTTGTTGGTAACCACTCTGCTAAATTTTAGCTGCATGCATCTACTTTAGGCTCAGAAAGCCACAATTAGAATGGTTCTGGAATGTGCAAGAATAATAGTAATTATTAAATTAAACATAATATTTATTGTATTGGAAATAAGTGCTGTAATTTTTTTCCTTTGAAAAGCTCTCATGCCTTGAGTGGGCTAGAAAAAGGACTTGAAATTCAGCAGACATGTAGTCTAAGCATAAATACTTCTGCTATTCTCATGAAAATCTACTCATATTTAGCCCCTTGGCTAAATATAAACCTTCAAATTCAAGCTTTTGCAAATACAGTCCATATTCTCAACAGAAGCTCTTTAGAGCTTTCCAGGAGAATTATCAAAATACAGGTTTTTTCTTGCACACTCTCAAGCCTCTCACAGATCCTACTATATATAGGATACATAGTTTCCTTATATGTTACCACACTTTTTTTCCCTATTGCTTATTCTCTTCTATCATATGCTATTACGTACCTTTAAAATGATTATTTTATCTACTACTCCATTACCTCAAGGGCAGAAGTCTGTGCAGTGCATCTCAAGTTTCTAATACTGATAATACAGATGGGCACTCACATTAGGCCATATGACCCTGCATCACATGGTGCCCCTGCTTCTTGCAGGGGGGCTGCATTAGATGACCTTTAAAGGTCCCTTCCAACCCAAACCATTCTATGTAGCCAAGCTTTTTTTTTCCCCTCAGAATGTTCTAAAAGCCCCCAAATAATTACAAACAAAAGCTATGCTTAAGGAAATCTTACCAACTTACGGGTACAGTGATGGATGGCTTAGTGGATATTGGTGCCCTTGTGTACATAAACACCATGGCACAATTAAATAATCATGTACCACTTTTCCTTCCCCTCTGAAGTCGCTGCATACTAATGTAGATGATTTTACATAGGGCTTCTGCTTCATTTGCTGAAGAGCTGAAAAACATACTGGGAAAGGAGAACTGTGCCAGCTCAAGGTCATATGAACTGAAGAATCCACATCAGCGCATGTCCTCTGGGCATCACCAGCACAACAGCTCCCAGTTGTGATGCATAAGGATGAGAAATGACAGAAATGAAGAAACCTAAGTAAGGCAAATTGCTTAAACCCAAATTCTTCACAAGCAATTGCTAACCCCTTGTTCCTCACCATCTAGGTACCCCACGTGACACAGATCTGATTCAAACAAATGCTAAATATTTACCAGATAGCTAAAGTAAATGAGAACTGTGTTTTGAATGGGCTATATAATTCCACTTGAAAAATCAGTCTCCAAGTGTTAAATATTCAAAATAAGCTAATATTTTCAACTCAAAGTCTCAATGCAGATGTTCATAATCTGTAAAATTAGAAAGTTTGCTCATTTTATGAAAGTGTAATGAAAATAAATTGATTAATGTTTAGTAAAACATTCAGACACTTAAATGATAAGCAGCACTCAGACCTATGAGAGAGTGATTCCAACTTCAGAGATGGGTAGTAAATCACTGAAAAAGACAACAGAATTCTATAATGAGACAATGGTGTCAACTTGAGCACTGCCCAGCCTTGCCAGGAACCAGCTTTATGAAAAAGAGATTCAAACAGCAAAACTGTATGGGTAATATTAATTTTGGCACCTCCTATTTCTAAGTGCTTGTCCTTGAACCCTTAAATAATAATTATTAAACCAGTCTATGTCAATAAAAAAATGAAATTATAATTTGATTACTGGAATCTATGATAAAATACACAGGCTACTGAAATCTTTGTAGACAGGTTGCCTATGAACACCGAAACTGGGTGGCAGCTTGCAGAGGTGCTTTTTCCTTCTTCCTGCTTTTGCTGCCCCTTTTTTCTCTTTTCTTTTGTGGTTCAATAAAAGCATTCAGCTTTCAATTCTTATCTTTTGGATGTGTTATATTCGTGCTACAGGAAACAAACAGCAGCATTTCGGTTTCTTTCTCTAAAGAAGACATTAATTCAGAGTAGAGTAAGCAATAGCAAAAAAACCCACAAGACATCGATACAGGGTACAGTAAGCAACAGCAAAACTTCATGTTTTAAATTGGAGAAGCAGCCAAATGAATTTTGAAAGCTTCTTCGTTGGAGGCTGAAAGGCTTTGTACAAACTTCATCCTGGAGTGATATTTTTGGCTGTAATATAGGGGTTTGTAATGGAAATGCTGACAGGCCCATAATTACGGAAGCACTAGCGGGCACCACTATAATAGTATATCAGATAGGCATAGGACTTAAATGCGATACAAGGTATCAAAAGATGTCAGTGTCTGTCCTCATTAAAGCAGCACTTAAAATTCCTTTTAACCTCCATTAACTCAAACCACGAATTTGATGTTCAGAAAGACACAGACAATGGTACTAACACTTGCAATTAATACATCCCCTTTAGTACTTCAAACTAAATTGAAGCATCATCCTAACTGTTTAAACTCATAGAAAATGCAAAAAAATGAATAATAAGAACATTTCATTTGACAGGACAAACTGAAGCCATTTAAAGCAATATAAAACACATTATTTCCTGTGTTCTGTGACATCTTAAAGCTTCTTCTTATACCCAAATATGCAATGATATATCTGTGATGTAATTACACTTCTGGATACGGGGAAGGGGGGAGGGATGGAGGGGGAGTTTTATTCTTTGTTCAATGGGTTCTTGTTTGTTGTATGACCAAGACAACTGTCAGATTTATATATCAGAATGAAATTCTTGATGCCTGTGCAAATTCCATGCATGCAGAAAAAAGAAGATCAAGCCTGAAGATCCAGGAGGGTTGAATAAGATGTTTACAGACAATATAGACTTTAATCTTACATTGTTAATCCCACCAAACCCATTCACTAAACTGGTAGCACGATCATAACCTGCACTGTAGATTCTAGGCCTGTAGTATGTAAATTCTGTAATTTCACCTGAGGGTTGTGTGCTATAATCATGTTCTTTTTTCCAACAGATGCAGAAATACCGCAGGAGGTTACCTTTGAATTATTTCCAACCACATGCTCTATTTCACGACTCCAACAAACCCACTCCTATTTCCTCCTCTGCATTAAGGTGATTGAAAACAACAGAAAGATTGAATTTGCCTTTCCTGCATCTAGCCAGAAAATAAAATTTTGGGGGTAAGTTCTCCTGAACAAGCCCTTTTTCAAGCATGAAAAATACATTAAGGGGAAAAAAAAGGAATTACATTCTGTACAAATCCAGGTATACAGCTCTTATCAGGTAAGGGAACTAACAAATGTCACATTCCACAGAAGCTTGCCTCACTGGAAATGGGATTGATGGTGGTTTTGATGACTAGGTAAAGAAAGAAAACATCTCGCTGAACAGAAAGTACTTTCCCATGGAAAGCTGGAATAGTACTATTTTGAGTAATGCCCTACTTAAACACAGGGACACCCTCACTCTGTCACTCACACAAACGTGATTTGCATGTTTGGTGGCTTGTAATTCAGTCTCAGACTACAGTAACACCTTATAAAAGATGATTCATAAGATTATTATATTTGCACATTTCCCTATTACTGACAGTGAAGGCTTCCGTGGGCCACCAGTCTCAGGACTACAGCCACTGCAGGACAGCATGACCAACAAACCAAAAAGGTCCCAACATCTATTGATGTTATTCCTATTTGAATGTGGAGCACAGCAGAGACTGCTGGGACTCCTGCCTTTGTGTCATGGGAGGTTTTCATTTTCTGATGAGGAAAACAGGTTTTCTCCTGAAAAGGAGAGGTTTTAAGATTTTATATCCACAGAAGACAATGGAATCGCCCAAGCTGAAGAACAGAGGTCTACATAAAGATGTTCTTTACTATTAACTCACTTGGTAAAGAAGGTGAGGCAGCAAAGTATTAAGTGCCAGACAATATATTAGTGTTTACCAAGTGAGGCTCATCTCCCCTAGAAGTCTATTGACCAGACAAAAATCTGCTTCAACCTGTGCCATTTTGTCCATATTATATAACATTTATCAAATCCTATGTTCCACAATCTTGATAACAGTCCCTACTGTTTGAACTTTCAAACATAATGGGGCCCTCTGATAGAAGAGAGTTAAAAGAACACACAAATGTGAATGTCATGAAAAGTGACTTGTAGTACTTTGTGGGAGGGTAAGACAAAGAGCACTTTCTTGAATCATGAAACTAGGTGTGATTTTTTCTGGCATTGTGTTATACAAATAGTAACAGGGAGCTCTTTGGCATTCCAGGAACTAAGTATAAATATGTGCAACCTAAAAGTATATCTTCTTAATGCAAATTTAATGCGCTGTTCAAATGCTGGGCAGCTATTATGCTGCCGTCAGCATTTCATTATGTGCTTTTGGTTTTCCTGATCCTGCTTCCTTCTGACCATTATACCTAAGACACACCTCCTGTGCAAGGGTGAAAGATGGAAATATGTCAGAGCATGTTCTGCAGTGACTTATTTGGTTTTCAAAGGCCATAAGATTTTGACATGACAGTAGGTGATAGTCAGAAATACTACTTTCTTTCTATGTTAGATCTTACCTTAGAAAACTCATTTTCAAGTTAGTACCTTCCTACTACAGACCTACCTGCTGTCTTCATTATCATTTTTAACATAGTTGGTATTAACTTGGTCCATTAATTATATTACAAATGTGTTTAATGTATTATTACAATCTGATGACACCACAATTGAGGTAAATCTTTAATTCAAAACTCACAAGCCTGCAGACAGGTAAGTTACTGGAGTGTCTTCTACTTTACCTAAAGGCAATGGAATTCTTCAGAGTGCAGTTCCGTACAGAATCTGTCTTGTGTTTCACACACAGCTCCTCATCCAGTGAGTTCTCTCAGGATTCTATTTTGGTATTCTTAATACAAAACAAGGGAAACTCCCACTGACTTCACTGGGAGTACAAGTGGACCTGAGAAGGGCACTAATCTCACTTATCAGCACACTATATGAATGCTGTCAATTAATTACAACCATATCAAACGCTTGGCTGCAGATAGTCTACATGGTGTGCTTTTCACTTACTGATTTACAGTCAGTGGGAGGAGGTTAGAGCAAAAGTGTAAGAGCAAATCAAAGTTAAACATGGACATGGAAATTTATCTCTGTTTTCAAGACTGCCAATTCTGTGTGCACTGGGCATGAACTAGGAGCATGGTGATGGAATGGCAGCAGAACAGTGTTTGCTACTGGCAATAACAAAGCCTGGATAAACAAGAGAATCATGCCTCATAACACAGTACCCTATTAGTTTAAATGATATGCATCCTACAGGAGCTAGTATCTAAAATAAAGCAAATGTTAATTCCTTTCAGAGATAAAATGATCAGAAGAGTATTCAGCTCCAAATGGAAACTAAGGAACATGACATACTGCCAGCCAGCACTTGGCAAAACAACTTCTAATATAATATGGAAATACTGTTGTACACCACTGCCAAAAAGATTAATAAACCCCCTGAAATTCTAGTTGTTAGCATTATTGCTACCCCTGGTTCCCTGCAAGAAGAAGTCCCTAAACAGTCAATGATTTCAATCAATAAGTATTAAAAAGAGAATCCTCTACCAAAGTTTTGTGCTTAAATGCAGCAGATAACCATGCTAAAAAGAGTATCAGCTGGTAATTCTAATTGGAATTCTGTCTCTTTGCACTCATAATTAATTCAATATATTGTGTTGGCATTAAGCAAAAACTCTGTACTTTCACCCAGTAGGACAGGAGTTGTATTAATTTGCTTTTCATATGCTTTTTATTTGCTGTCATCGATTCAATGGATTGAACAGAAAGCTGTGAAAGAGCGGATGAGGGCGATTCCTATTACTCAAGGGAAAAAAAGAGAAGTGTGAATAGCACAGCTTGGATGTATAAATATAGAGGGAAAAGTTAACACAGCTCTAGTGAAGAGAAGTCATTTCTTAATCTGTCTCTGAAAGGGGCCAATGGGTAACGCAGACACAAGAGACCTACCTGATATGGGCCAATTCAGTATCAAAAGCCCATTTTGCCAAGGTCACTCTGCAGATATTCTAAAAGAAAAGTATTTGCCATGAGATAAGCAGAAAGGTCCTCAAAAAGATAAACCATTCTTTAAAAGACAGAAGAAAAGGTAACATAAACAGACAGGTGACTTTTATCACTGGAGAAGAGGACATCGGTGGAGTCCCAGAGGAACATGCACAGGTCTCGAAGTGTTCAACACACTCATTAATGGTGGCAGCACATTCATCCACAACTTACTAAAAAAAACAAATCCCCAGTGAACAATATATAAAAGGAACAAGTGATGACTTGAACCCAACAAGGATGGAAAGCTACATTTTTGTAATTAACCTCCTACAAAAAGGATTTAAACAAGGGAGTGGGAGGCCTATTATAGAGAGTACAAAGAGAACAAAGGAGAGAACATGAGCAGAGAGGATACAGAGTTACAGTGATCACTTGCAGCCTGTGATGCTTAGGGAGCAACTCTTGATTAGATGAAAAGCTGAGTAACTTTATCTCCTTGACCCCAGTGGCAATGGACACCTGGAACATCAGCTTAGCATTTGTCAGTCCTAATTCACCACAGGGTCACCTCAGTGCACGACAGATGGAAAAATTCAGGGATGCAAATTTAGGCTTCACCATGGTTTTCAACAGACAGAGGAACCACACAGCCCACAGTTTACCACTTCTTAGTACATATCATGCAGCTATTGCTTCTACTTTAGGAAACATATAGATGTACTGGTAGGGACACAAGACTTAACAGTGTGAAATCACAGAGTAACATCTCAAAAGGGTGACCCACAGGAAACAAGACCTCCCATTTTACCAGCATATGGTTCCTTAGGAACACAGTACACCAGCATTCCATCTTGGGCTAGTTATTTCTCATTCTTGATAATGGCACACAGCACCAGTGCCATCCCACCTTAAGGTAATGAGTAATTTGTAAAGTTGTTCAGAGCTTGCCTAAGAAAGATCCCGTACTTAGTATGTTAGAACGGCTTTATGTCACCCACAAGTCTTCGCACTTGCACGACAGCAACTCCCCAACGTGAACCTCCTCAGCAACTTCATTAGACAGACTGAAGCAGTGCTTCTTGTCAAGAAATGATTCACAGAAGAGTTATATATTTTTGGGATTTATCAAAAAATGTTGAAGGTTTAACAGGGACAAACCCAGTAACTCTTCACTTCACCAGTTCTGAACCTTTCATCTCATCAGAAATGCAAAATACGAAGAAATATTTGATATTTGAACCCTAAGAAAAGTAGTTTTAAGCTAGTATCAATCTGCAGTAAGGGACATGGTCAAAAAGCAAAACAGATGCTCCACACCTTTTAAACTTTGATAGCATTTGTCTTTCCCTGCTTTCTAGAATAGCGTAAGCACATGCAGCGCACTAATCTGGTACAGAAAGGGCAGTAGGGAACAAACCTTCAGCTGACTTATTGAGGCTAACTTTGTGTGTCAACTTGCAAAGTTCACTGTGCCTCCGAACAAGTGCATGTTTAAAGCTGACACATGCAAATCCTTTGCACACAGAAATCAGAGGGTGATAAACTGTTATGCAGATGAACTGGAAAGAAAGTCCTTTTTCTTTGGAACTCTTGACTGGAAGGTGTCAGAAGTGCAGAAGAAAAATAAGGGTTTGCAAAATAAGAAAGGCAAAAACCCTGGCAGCTCTGAAATTATTTGCATGTCAGTGATTACGTGACAAAATATTTAAAGAATGGCAAAGCTTTCATTATTCAGTGAGTCTGCTTCTTTTCCTACATAGCTGCCTTATAGTTCCAGTTGCAGCGAAATGGAAAACACTTTCAACTGTCACCTGATAGAGCAAGTTAATTCTGCCTATTGCTATACATGTTGTTTATTCGGGTCCTTTCTCTGAGAAATGCCTCCTGTATACATCCTTCTTCTCTTACGTTTCACTTTCTTTCTTTTAGCTGACAAAATGTGTTAAATCTTGTTTCAGTCCAAAAGTCGTGGAGCATTTGCACTGCATTGTCTAACCTGGAGTTAAGAGGGAAGAGACGCGAACACTCAGGACAACATCAGGAACCATCTATCAACGCTAACACAAAAATTCAGGCTACAATTTCACACATAGAATCGTGACTGTTAAGAATGAATATTAATAGATAACTGCTAAAGCAGAGCATGAAATTACCAGATATAAACTCAACAGAACGAAGCTTGGTAGAACACAATGGCAAATCTCATAAACATTGAGACAAAATTCTGGTCTGTAACTGCTGAAGGCTTTGCCAAAACACCAGTTTGACTCAAGCCTCCTACTCTTGTATCCATGTGGGTTATACTGGTTGGAAATGCTAGCTGTCAACAGCCTATTTTAGTTAAGACTTAGGCAGCTCCAGGATACCACAGGTTTACACAAGGATTCTGGGCCTTTCAAACCCAGTTTCAGCCCCAAAAGAAAGCAGAGCTGCTACAGCTACACAGAGACATGGGCAGCAAAACACCCAAGCTTGACAGCGAACTTCCATTTGGATGCATGGATCTATGGCACAATTCTCAACAGACACGAGATTCTCATCTATATTCATCACCTTCAGAAACTCTGTTTTTAATTTGATCCAGAACATGTTGCAAACTTGGTGCCTTTTTTCTGAACTCCTTGTTCTTGTCAGAGGTTTGGATTGACTGCAAGGCTGAACCTGGGTCTTGTTCCTTACCATTAAATATGCATGAATACTTTCAAGACTAGTCCTTTACTGCATGTGTACTGTTACATGGGAGTTTCTTAGTGGCCCTAGGGAATGTCCTCAGCTTTTCTGCAATAATAAAGTCACTCAAC